GGGGGGGATTTTGGGGAGGTTTTTGGGGTCCCAGGTGGGATTTTGAGGAGGTTTTTGGGGTCCCAGGCAGGATTTTGGGGGTCCCAGGTGGGATTTTGGGGTCCCCAGTGGGATTTTGAGGAGGTTTTTGGGGTCCCAGGCAGGATTTTGGGGGTCCCAGGTGGGATTTTGGGGGTCCCTGGTGGGATTTTGGGGAGGGGTCTCCACACTCACGATCTCTTGAAGGCCTGCAGGACGTTGTCCGAGCCCGAGGGGCGTCCGGCTGTGGTGGGGGGAGGGGTGTGAGACCCCCGGGACCCCCAACCCTGAACCCCAAATTCGGGGGGGGGTCCTGGAGGAGTTTTTGGGGCTCCCCGGTGGATTTTGGGCATCCAGGGGGGATTTTGGGGGTGTCCAGGGGGACTTTGGGGTCCCCAGGTGAGTTTTGGGGTCCCCAGGCGAGTTTTGGGGTGGATTTTGGGGTCCCCAGGTGGATTTTGGGGTCCCCACGTGGATTTTGGGGTGATTTTGGGGGTTTTTGGGGCGTACCCTCGACATCAATGTTGAAGGAGCAGCTGTCCTTGGCTGTGACCTCACCCCTGTCCCCAGGTGAGTTTTGGGGTTCCCAGGTGAGTTTTGGGGTAGATCTTGGGGTCCCCAGGTGGATTTTGGGGTCCCCAAGGTGGATTTTGGGGTCCCCAGGTGGATTTTGGGGTGATTTGGGGGTTTTTGGGGCGTACCCTCGACATCAATGTTGAAGGAGCAGCTGTCCTTCTTGTCCTTGGCCGTGACCTCACCCCTGTCCCCAGGTGAGTTTTGGGGTCCCCAGGTGAGTTTTTGGGTGGATTTTGGGGTCCCCAGGTTGATTTTGGGGTTCCCAGGTGAGTTTTGGGGTGATTTTGGGGTGATTTTGGGGTGATTTTGGGGTGATTTTGGGGGTTTTTGGGGTGCACCCTCGACGTTGAAATTGAAGGATCAGCTGTCCTTCTTGTCCTTGGCCGTGACCTCACCCCTGTCCCCAGGTGAGTTTTGGGGTCCCCAGGTGAGTTTTGGGGTGGATTTTGGGGTCCCCAGGTGGATTTTGGGGTTCCCAGGTGAGTTTTGGGGTGATTTTGGGGTGATTTTGGGGTGATTTGGGGGTTTTTGGGGCGCACCCTCGACGTCGATGTTGAAGGAGCAGCTGTCCTTGGCCGTGACCTCACCCCTGTCCCCAGGTGAGTTTTGGGGTCCCCAGCTGAGTTTTGGGGTGGATTTTGGCGTTCCCAGGTGGATTTTGGGGTTCCCAGGTGAGTTTTGGGGTTTCCAGGTGTATTTTGGGGTGATTTTGGAGGTTTTTGGGGTGCACCCTCGACATGGAAATTGAAGGAGCAGCTGTCCTTCTTGTCCTTGGCCGTGACCTCACCCCTGTCCCCAGGTGAGTTTTGGGGTTCCCAGCTGAGTTTTGGGGTGGATTTTGGGGTCCCCAGGTGGATTTTGGGGTTCCCAGGTGGATTTTGGGGTCCCCAGGTGGATTTTGGGGTGATTTGGGGGTTTTTGGGGCGTACCCTCGACATCAATGTTGAAGGAGCAGCTGTCCTTCTTGTCCTTGGCCGTGACCTCACAGCGATAATCGCCCCGGTCACCGGGGACCACCTTGGAGATGGAGAGCTCGAAGGTGAACACCTGGACAGGTGAGAGAGACCGTGAACACCTGGAACAGCTGGAAGGTGAACACCTGGACAGGTGAGACAGAGAATGAACACCTGGACAGGTGAGGGACTGTGAACACCCGGACAGGTGAGGGACTGTGAACACCTGGACAGGTGAGACAAGAGACTGTGAACACCTGGAACAGGTGAGACAGAGAATGAACACCTGGACAGGTGAGATTGGGAATGAACACCTGGACAGGTGAGACAGAGAATGAACACCTGGACAGGTGAGATTGGGAATGAACACCTGGACAGCTGAGACAGAGAATGAACACCTGGACAGGTGAGACACAGAATGAACACCTGGACAGGTGAGGGGACACCGTGAACACCTGGACAGGTGTGACATGGGCACAGGTGACACCGGGACACAGGCGGACACTGGGGACAGGAAGGCCGAGCCAGCGGAGACCACGCCCAGTTCAATCCCAGTTCATCCCAGTCCATCCCAGTTCAATCCCAGTTTATCCCAGTTTATCCCAGTCCATCCCAGTCCATCCCAGTTCCCATCCCAGTCCATCCCAGTCCATCCCAGTCCATCCCAGTTCCCACCTTTGTCTCCTTCTCGCAGCTCTCCCGGAACTGGAACCGGGCCCCGCTCTTGGCTCCCAGTTCAATCCCAGTTCCCTTCCCAGTCTATCCCAGTTCAATCCCAATCCAATCCCAGTTTATCCCAGTCCATCCCAGTCCATCCCAGTCTCTCCCAGTTTATCCCAGTCCCTCCCA